CATCTTTTGTTCAATTCTCAGTTTGAAGAGGATGCAGTCACATAGTAATACTTTTTAGGAAACATACAAGCAACTTTTTCTTTCAAATACCCCTGTATCATGACAAAATGTGTTTTTCTTCCAAATATAAACAGAAACAGACAACAAAAGACCTGCAAATGTTCCAAGACAAAACGGAAACATTAAGCATGGGTATTAAAAATAAAATACAGTGTTGTAGAGGAAAATAACTATCCTAAATGAATAAAGAATACATAGATATACCCAAGAGAAAATGAAGAGAAAAAGAACTGAAAAAAGTGACAGAAATGAAATCCTTAATCTTCCTCTTAACCAGACTTCCATCCCAGTTGATTCCACCCTTGGTAACTAAAAGTCATTCTTAAGGCTAGAATATTTCAGTGGTTTGGTGTCATATAGGAAAGGGGGCAAAATACCACATCTGTCATTTTAATTAGAATGAACACACATTGAGATGAATGTGCTGTTTTGCATATGGGTGCTGCAGTAGAATTTTATCACAACAAGCATCCTAATAATAAAGGATTTCAAGGTCACTGAAACAAAAGACATTTTGTGGACTTATTGGCTGGGAGGTGGGTTTTTCTATCCCATTCTGGTAATCTTTCACAACACTTTTTCAAACGATATCACCATGTTGAACAAGTGCAATTTCACTGTGTTCTACGATACTTTTATTTAAAAATAAAATGCCCTGCCCTGTTTTAGCTTCATACTGTAAATTAATATTTGCTTATAACGTACTGTGCATATATTCTGTATGCTGTACTGTATATACAATTTATGTTTGCATAGATACAGACAGATGTGTACAAATAGTATAAAGTTCTACTTTATTATTGTTGAACCTGGGGAACACTTTTCTTTTACACTAATTCTGCTGGTTGCAAAATACTTTGAAAAATACATTTAAAAATTATTTTTTGTTTAAACTAAGATTAGTATCTTCTAATTACTTTCTCGGTCTAAGGGAGTTGGGAAAGTGATAACTTTCTGTTTATGAATCAAAACTCTCCTCAGATAACTTCATTTAGATTCTTTGCTCTAATTAGCAGGGAACCAACACACCTACAGTATGTGATTCCCACATATGCACCTACTCTTTGTTCATACAACACAACTAAGAAAAATTTCTATGACAATTCCATAATTTGGTCAAGATTATGAAGGAAAATAGACTTATTCTAATTGGAAGCCTGAAATCTTAAAAAAGAAAAGAGTTTCTGGAATGGATCCAGATAAGGAAAGGTTTTGATCACTATGATCATCACAAGGGAAGCAATCATTGGAAGGGGTGTTTTAAAGATCTATTCAATAAAGAATCCATCGTCAATGATAGTACAGCATTTCAATTCCAACCCAAAACACCCCATTAGAGATTGCACAGGAACTCTGAAACACTTAAAGGGATTATAAAAGATATCACACAAATGAAGAACAACAAAACAGCAGGAGGTGATGAAATTCCCTTAAAAAACATTTTAAATCTTTGTGGACAAGAAATAACACACCCCCACACCCTTATTATACAGATCTAGAACAAACAGGAAATCCTAAATTATTTCAAGAATGCCAAGGTCATGACAATCTTTTAAAAAGGAGACATGTCAAGAGAGATTTTCCTCACTTGTCTATCACCAGCATCATCAGTACAAAATATCATTACAGAAATTCTCCTTAGCCATCTCATATCTTGATGATGAATCTCCCAGATCTCCCAGAATCCCAGCCTGAGTTCCTCAAGTAATCCTCAGCAATATATCAGCTATAGGCAACAGTGTGGAGCGCAGGTTAAGCCTCTGGATTCATAAATGGAAGATTGTGGATTCATATCCTATGCGGGGTATTGCTGTATTACCATACAGCAAATAACTTCATTCAAGTTGATCAAGTCAAATGACCAGCAAACATAATGTACAAACGGCAATTGATATGGATAAAATAGTCAACTGAATAAATTAATAATACTGTGCCTTTAAATTCCATTTAGGAGTAAAATAGGTGTACATCATTCTATATTCTATATTTTCATTAACTGTGATGACTATATACCATTTTATTACAAAGCATCCTTCTGCAGTGCAGCTGACTTATTGAATGCTGCTACAGGTTCACTTGAGCTTTTGCTGAATTTCCCAAAGCCTGCCTCAGCAATAAAGAGAATATAATCCCTTATACAAACATGGAAACAGTACTGAGGAAACTGCTCAGTACTGCACAAATACTGTATCAACTCTGGTGTAGAACGATCCCACTGCTCTTTGGGACTGGCAGTAGATTGGGAGGTGTATAGAAGTGGCAGTTGAGACCTGGGGAATTGCAGGCACAGTGGGGAGCTGCTCAGGCAGCATGCAGTCAGGAGAGCAGAGCGTTGCAGCGCACAGGCAGACTAGAGCTGCAAAGCTGCTGGTGGAATGATGGCATAGCATGAGGGTTTCCAAGGTGAGATCGTAGGCAGGCAGCCAGAGAGGCAGCTGCACAGCTAGGAAACCACACAGCTGAGTTGGAGACAGGCTGAAGCATAAAGGGGTACTCCAAGTGGGATGGTCAAGCAGGTCAGAGGACTGGACAAGTTCAGGTGAAACGGGTCGTACATGGGGACCATAACTTGAGAGAACAAGCCAGAGTCAGGCCATGAAAAATTCAAAAACACGGACGGACATCTTCAAAGCACAGAGAGAACAAAGCTAGAGAATGCAGAGGCTCAGAGTCCACACTCTATATCAGAGCCCAGAGCAGAGTCTGATGGTAATCCACCTCTCCTGTCAATTGGTGTCTATTGCAACTGGTGCTGAGTGACAGGTGGGTGGAACAGAGGCTGGCTGCCATGCCAATGCTAGCTCACCCAACAGAGCAACAGCCAGGTCGAGCCTGATATGGTGTTTTTTAATCCAGATAAATAAACCTATTGGCCTAACCATATCATGTTCATGCATATTTAGAAACTGTACACCATATCACATCATTCAAAGACACAACAGGAATCGCTAGTCTGTCAATCACTAATATCAGTCATTCGTTTTTTAATGACTAGGAGGTTGCAAAATTTAGCAACTCTTAACTGGATTGCTTAAAAAGTATATTGTTCAGAAGAATTTGTGTAGCTATCTGTGGGCTAAGAGGCAAGTAAAACCAGGGTAAGACACAAATGATCAAAGAGTGTTCCTGATGATTCATTTTTTGGTAAATCATTAAAGTTGGAGTAGAGCTACTGCTCCTCCAGATCAAGAGGAGCAAGATGAGGTGGCTCGGGCATTGGTAAGAATCTCTCCCCGGGGCTTCCCGCTGGATGTGTACTGGGTGCGACCCACTAGGAAGAGACCCAGGGGCAGAGGCAGGTCAAGCTGGAGGTATCATATCTCATGGCTGGCCTGGGAATGCCAACCTTCTACCACTGTGACCCTCACCAGGATTACTGTAAGCAGTGATGAGGATGACAAAACACTTAGTATAACCATATTAACAGAATTGAACTATTTAATAGTTTATTATGAAATTAATATATTTGAGGAAGGCGTGGTGATGCCGTGCCACAGAGGTCCACATTGTTGCCGCGCAATGCTGGGGCCCTAGGTTCAGCCCCAGAACGGGGCTGCTGTCTGCCTTGGTTTGCAGTTTGTAGTTTACGTGCTCCATCTGTATTTGCGTGGGTTTCATCCAGGCGCTGTGGTTTCCTCCCACATTCCAAATCCATACTGCTAGGTTAATTGTGCTCTGGGAAAATTGGCCCTTGTGCTAGTGTGCACGTCTTTCCACCTGCCCTACAATAGACTGGCGTCTCATCCTGAGTGTACCCTGCCCCTGCCTTGCGCCTCTTCCTTGGAGGGATAGGGTCCGGCTCTTCCGCAACCCTGAATTGGAAGTGCACTTAGGAAATGAATGGAAGGATGGAGTATGTTTGATGATGCATTGATTCATTCCTTTAATTCAGTACGTCTTCGAGTTTCTGAATGATGATGTTTATGTTTGAGACTGACCATAATCCTGTTCACCCAGGTATTATAGTCAACACATTTAACCCTGTATTAATTAACTGTTCTAAACATTGATTGATCAGTGATTCATATTATGAATTTAAAAGGACTAGAGTCATGTTACCCAAGCTTTTTGACGACAATTTTATGTATCACATGGTAGGAGAAATGCAGTAACATCTTTGTTCTCTCCCAAAAAGTCACTACAAGAATAGAAATATGTTCATCTGCCATCTTGCTCCCTTATTATCCTTGCTTCGTCTAGGCAATCGCACCAGGATACTACAGAAGGAGCTTTTCACAGATAAGAGAAAAAGCAAAGATAAAGAAATATAACATCAATATCACCTCCTGGGAGACCTTGGCCCTTAACTGAACCAGAAAAAAAGAAGAATATCCAGGAAGAAGCCCAGCTTTGAAATTGAAAAGTTGTCAGAATAAGAACAAGGAAACAAAGAGTGTCAAGGAGAGAGCTTGCCATTACTTAGTGCACAACCAGATACCTCCCAAGAAAAGACCTGCTCAACCAGCAAGAGATAGTGGAACCCAAATTGTACTATTAAGTTATCTTCTTGCTTGTAAAAGACAATCACTCTTGACCGTGAATGATAGTGAACAAATGTACAGTATGTGCAATATATGGCCAATTAATAAGAGTAAATATAAAATGTTACCTTCCAAAATGTGATATTTTCATAGGTTTTGGAGAGGGAAAATACCAGTTAATACTACAGCATGTGAAGTATGTTCTTTTATTACAGGAAATGTTGTTCTTAATATGGTGATGATATGGATTTTTATTATAAAATAGGATATGAATATTCTAGGTGTCCAGTGTCAGTATACTGTAATACAATACAGTAAGTATTTAGTGTCAGACAAAATCTCTGTGCTCAGTGTTTAATTTATTAGAGAAAAAATAAATTTCAAATGACTTAGAATTAAAATGTAGAAAAAACATGCATGGTAATTTATATGAATTATATTTGCATTTTGTGTAAACAGCTTCTACAATTCTATGGTCAGATGTGCATATTTTATCCCATCAAGGTAAACCATCAGTGGGTTGTGCAGATAAGTGGTCTGTTACTTTTCCCTTGGGTGTATTCAGCTGTGTGATATTAACATGTGCTACTAAAGATAGTTATAAACACCTGTTTTCATTCAATAATTGACTGATTTGGGAGAATATATGCATGCAGCAGTAAGCTGCCATAGAATGCTGGAACTGCTAAGCACAAAAAGTTAATTACAGGATAATAAAATACAGGATATTGTAAAAAAAAAATATTTATGTAGTATAGCCTATGGAAGTCATTTTATTCTTCCTTGCCTTTTGTTTTTTAATCCTATAAATAATTAAGGTGTTATGTACTGTATATAGAAAAAATGCAACATCTTTCACACAATAAAAATACATTAACTTCTCTCACTTTTTATCAAATTTCTAGCTCTGGACCCCACCAGAGATCCCTGCTTAAAGGTTAAATGTAGCCGTCATAAAGTGTGTGTGGCCCAGGACTACCAAACAGCAAATTGCGTTAGTCAAAGAAGGATGACACACAGGTAAAAAAGCATTTTTCATACACTAGTTAATTTGTTAGCTGTCTGCTTTACTTAACCATATCCAGTTTACTAGCAGAGAGGCCATTTTCATTTTTTGTGTTTTTATGTGTGTGAAAATGATTTACTGAGCATCTGAATAGATCTTTTTAGCTATTTTTATGACCAAAATAAAATATATATTTTTAATAATTTTGAATTTCCACTCATGAGTTGAAAGAATTGACTTATACAATGTTCAAAGTCACCCGATTGTATTGGTCTTTCAGCATTAATCAATCAAAAATGTCTAAACAAAATTAACATATTTTATTTTCTAACACATATACAGTATATAAATATAGTTTATACGTTTCTTTTGATGATCATTTTGAGAAACTTTTCAAAAATAAATAACTCTGACAAATAATTATAAAAACTAAATACAAAATGGGAAAATGTGGCAAACACTGCATCTGTTATGTTGAACTTATATTTTGTTTTAATGCAGTAAAGAATTAAATTGAGAGAGATAGCATGTTGGAGGCTATGCTATAAATATATGCTATAAAAGGTGAAGTCACTGTACAAAGGAGTTGTTTTACCATCTTTAGGATTTTGCCATGCCTACATTAAATCATACATAAGTAACACTTATCTTTTAATACATATCTGCAAACATATACAGTACATTTATCAAATGTGAAATAATAATTTCAACACTATTCATACGCAATCATACAGGGAGAGCAATAAGTTGCAAGCATGTGTGATTTTGTGTATTTTTTCCCTGTTGCTTCTTATTTGGATTTTTGCAAACTATGAATTTTCCAGAAAGCATTTGACAAGATTGACTCATTATTAAACCTAAAGCTGTGAGAAATAATGGTACAACATGTAATAGGAAAACTAGCTTCAGGAAAGGATACACAGAGTAATAGTAAGAGCTCGATCATCATGGTTGATCATTGTATGGAGTGAAGCCCCACAGAGCTTGTGCTTGGAGTACTGCTCTTCCATATACAGGTATATATTGGGAATGAATGTTAATTAGCTCTTAACATGTTACAGTGCTGAGCCACCGACAGATCTTTCACCTTTATTAGGGTTCATCAGCATTGCATGCTAAACCACATAGAGCAAGACTGCGGTCTGTGTCTGCAGAGACAGTAGAAACAACAGTAGAGACAATAGAGAAGAATTAGAATCTCATTTAAATGGTTTGGCTCCCAGTATAATGAAATAATAAGTTAATATTAATTAGAATAATGCAAGCTTTACTTTAAGAAACTAGAGAGTAAACTAGAGAGTTCACAGAATTCCTGAATATTTCAGTGTATTTGTGATAAATTTACTAACGATATATGTGGGAATAGTCAAAAAGTAAGGATTTAGGAATTGTAAACTACATATAAATATAAAAAATGTAGTTATGCAAGAAAAATGTGAGATAGTTCTGGGAAGTACAGAAATAAAAATACCTTATCCTGGTCCAGGAGAGACAATATGTCTGTGGGTTTGTATTGCTCTTTTCAAGCCACAACTACCAGGTTACTGGTTTAACTGGACTTTTGGTGTCCATTAAGTGTTCACAGTCAGTGAAATATACATTGACCGCTATTTTTATTTGAATTGTGATAAGATTAACCATGCCTATCCATTTATCAGATTCTCAATCCCTTTAGAGCTGTGGGTAAAGTTAATCCTTTATAGCACATTTCAATGATGCAGTTTCCTTACAATGGTGACTGTGTTGCCAACTTTGCAATATGCTTTCCTGTTCTTTGAAATAAACTGGAAAAACTGTAAATACCAATGTGCAAATTAATCAATGAACATTATATAGAGTATATGTGCATAAAATCTATAATATATATCTATATTGCATATATATCAATATGCAAATTATATATATTTAATAATATATAAAGGAACATATAATAACATATGTACCTTTAGCTTCTGTATATGCCAGATATTAAAGTAATATCTAAACTGCTCTACTGACCTTGTTTTCAGAAAGGACTCAATATAAATGTGCCTTGCATCTGCAATAGTGCCTGTCTGTTGTCTGTCAGACAGTGTTGTTAAGCCTGTCAGGCACTATTGCAGATTCAAGGTTGTGACAGGACATATGGACAAGACCAAATTTTAAACTTACCAGTTCCAGATGGATGTTTGCTCTTTTATTGCTTTAAACTTAAACTTAAATGTGTTTCATCAATATATGCGCCAGATAGAGACAAAATAGTCACTTGAATAAACTCATTTGGAATTACTTTTTTCCATTCCAAGTTCACTAAAAGCAATAAGATCCCTATGTTGGTCAGACTGTTACTTAGACAATAAATGACAGTATACTTAAAAATATTAATAATAATTCACAATTTGGAAAGAAATGGATGAAAAAGACTCAATACTCTGTGATTTCAGTGTAGCTCTCCATGATTTTGGCTAAGGTCCCCACTGACGTTAATTCTTTACAGCTGTAAAAGCGCCATCCAGACCTGATCAGTTAAATCGATCATCAGCAGAAGACTGTCTATGTGAAAAAGAAAAGCAGTAAACAACTCAAAAATGCAGAAATGATCAAGTCAGAGGTGTCTTTTTATTTATCACAAATTGAAAAGTACAAAATGTGTAATGTGTAAACATTAGGAACATTTTAAGAACATCTTTTTTTCAGTTCTACCAAATAAATTCCTTAGGATAGTTCATATAACCCTCTTCAGGATTATAAATTAATAATGTGCCATACATACTGTACAGCCCCTGATGAGAGTAATTAATAAATTATCACACCTACAGATGGGTCTCAAGACTTTATTATATAACTAAATAGAAGTAACAAAGAGCAATCATTAATACATCCCTGGCTTACACAGTAAAATCAAGATGTAAGCTTCTGTATTTTGTGTACTAGTCCAAAAACACAAAAACAAATGTATTTATATATGTAATAATGAAATGTATTATTTCTTTAGGAGTTCCTTTCCCTTAAATACTTACCTCACCCTTCACTCCGGGCTGTCATTAGCTGAGCTATTGAGTGTTTGCTACCTCATAGTTTCTTTAAGCCAGTTTTCTTTTTTCTCAACATTTTTTGCACTTGCTTACTTACAGTATTTCAGTACTTTCCCCGTACCTTACCACTACTGCTCTGGAGCCCTGAGTGTTGGGTTTATTTCTGTATCTCTTTTTTTTCTTTTTTGGCTCTTCTTTTTCTTTTGTCTTGGTGTTTTCCACCTCACCACTGCCTGAGCCTTGCTTGTGAGCTCTTGGTCAGACGCAACTGTTTTGGCCTCAACACATCATTACATTCTTGTAATACGATCATATTTACTCTCACAACCCTCATGAAAAGCATATTCCTATGTTTTGGAGATACTACACAGATGTCTAGGTGATATTGTAAAGCACAATGTATAGTTAGATTATGAAAACTCTTTTGATATTGATATTGTATTGATGTGGACAATGCTGTCCTTGTTATTTATGTCACCATTTTGTGCAACAGACGTTACAAATACACAATACAAATGTCTCATGCCTGGAGTCTTATCTGTCCATCAAGAGGAAAGGACATGTGGATCTTAGAATATTTAATCTGGCGGTTATGGAGTAGCAAATTAATTTGGTCTAGATTATTAATGTGCTATTCCACAGCACGGCTAATTTTAGGCCTGTTTTTGAAACTTTCCTGGGGAACACTGCAGTTGCACTTTTTTGTTTATTTTTCACTTTTTTTTTCTTTCAGTAGAGACCTTTCAGAAAGAAATTGTGCTCTATTGTTTTGATTGGCCAATATTGTTTTGTGATTTCTTTGAGCTCTCTTAGACTTATAGCCAAGTAACCAATAACCAGTGGGTTAGTCACAGGTTATTGCCTGATAGCCAGGAAGAAACCATTGCTAATTAATAAAAACATTACCAACCATCTCAACATCACCAAAGAGCTATCTACAGTACTACTGGAAGAATCTTTTCTCGACAAATGAATCAAAAGTTGAAATTTTTGGCCACAGTGAAAAGTTATTTGTGTAAAAAAAAACCAAACACTGCCTCCTCACAGAAGAACTCTATTAAGCACGGAGATGAAAGTATCTTGGTGTGAGGCCACTTTTCTAATCTCAGAACTTGGAAGGCTTGCCCATCATTGACAGAACAATGAATCGGATGTTTTATCAGCAAATTCTGGAAGACATTGTTGATAGGTGGCATTTGTGATGTGTTAGATATTAGTGAGATGGTAGCTTCATTTAATCTACTGCTTCTTTAAATCTACTCAATAAAGAATATGAAATTATGTAACTAATTTATTAATTAATTTTATTGTGCATTCTGGATGACTTCAACATGCTTTATGTTAAATCCAGTGATTTCAAGTATCTATAAGTCTTGAGGCACAAAACCTTTAAATTAGTAAATTTCATAGTACATATCAGACTGTAAAAGTCAGTATTTGGTTGCATTTCCCTTTTTGGCAGTAATTGTATAAAGTCTACAGCCCATTATGCTCCACGAAATCTTGTGTGTGTCCACTTGAGAGGCTTTGTGAAGCCTTTACTGCAGCCACTTTGAGCTTTTGCATATTCTTTGGGAATATTCCACCTCCATTTTATTACTTCAGCATATAAAATACATGCTCAATTGGACTTATTTCTTGATGTTGACTCAACCTCAGTCAAAGAGTTTCCACTTTTTTCTTGTGATGAACCTCTTTAGTTGCCTTGGCCGTTGTAATACTGCATGATAAAGCATCACCCAATAAGTTTGGAAGCATTTGCTGTTATATAAGCAGACAAAATGTTTGTTAACTTCTGAATTCATTTTTCTGCTGCCATTAGTTACATTATCAATAGTCGAGTGACCCAGTTCTAGAAGCAACCATGCATGTCCTTCAGGCTGTGACATTGCCTCCACTGTGCTTCACATTTTAAAGTTAAAAAACGAATCTCCTGTTTGATTTTGGTTCCAGTACTCATTTGTTTACATTGCCTCTCAGTGTATATTTTCTATAAAGCA